GACACGGGTGTCAAACTCCCCACGTCATGTGAGGTGTCGCGACGTATCGCAACTCTTTTTCCATTGCCGGCAATGGGGTGGGCACAGCTTCAGTATAATGAAACTGGCCTGTAGATCGGCAGTTTCCCTGTCCTAGACCAAGCTAATCCCCAAAATGCTAAAATTCAAAGTATTATAAATATTGCTTGCTTTTATTCGTGACAAGAGCATGTTTTAAATAATAAAAAATAAAAAAAATAGATTCATTAGTAATATTAAATAATTATAAATAAATATTGGTCCTGATCCTGCAGTCTTCTAGAAAGTAGTCAAGACTTGGCTTTTTCCTTAGGTCTTTGGATCAGGATGAGCAGAGAATATTTTGGCCACTATATTTTTTTTAGTTAGTTCGTAGTATTATGTGTTGTTTTGGTTTTTTGTTGATGGGTGTTCTTTATATACCCATTCTATTGTTTGAGTATAAACAAAACAATGTGTACACAAATGGAACAGAATGGGTGATATAAGTGCTCTACATAAATAAGCATTATACAGATGCAAATATAACTCTGAATGCTATGACTATATAGACATAGTCTTTTAATAGGATATTAGTTCTGATAGACTAATGAGACCAATCTATTCCTTATTTCTAAATGCATCTTTCTAAAACAGTTAAAACTATTTCTCTAGACTAGTAATTCAGCTGAGAATGACTATCAAGAAAAACAACTATAATTATTTTAGATTAATATGATTTTTAACTAAAATGTTGTTTTACAGAATTAGAACTTACGTTTGATAGTTGTAAACTAAAGCCTAAAATATTCAAATGCAAATTGCTTCTGCATATGTATTTCACTGGGAGCATTTGCATACCTTTGGAGGCATCTAGGAGAATGAAGAGGAGCTCACCGTGAGCAATAGACAAGTGCAAATTCATCTCATTGGATCAAACTAGTCGTCTGGGAACTGGCTCACTGGGAGCAACTGCATACCACAAGAAGATTTTTGGAGAGTGACAAGCTCACTGTGAGCAACATATAAATCTCATTGGATCAAGCTAGTGGCCTGTGCACTAAATCTTACAATTAAGAATCTAAATCAGGAGTTCTACAAGGGAACTATCTATTTGGATCTGCACAACTGTTAATAGTAATGAAGTCATGGAGAAAGAGGTGATGTGGTGACCTGCAAGATGTGTGCAGTGTTTGTATTCCTGCCTGAAAACTTCAATTATACGTGCACCACGTGCAAACTGATCAGTTTGGAAGGTCTATGGCCCTTTTATGACTTGTGGACTTCAACTCCCAGAATTCCTGAGCTAGTATGGCTGGCTCAGGAATTCTGGGAGTTGAAGTCCACAAGTCATAAAAGGGCCATAGTTCCCCACCTCTGATCTAGAGAAACATATCCCCATTCTGAGACTCATCTGTGAAAATGAGAAATTTCTAGAAAAAGCAGAAGTCTCTAGAAACTGAACTTAGTAAGGAAGAAACAATGACCATGAAAAATGGAGATGTAGAAAAGGATGGCCACATGTCACTCGGAACCCCCCTCCCCCGAGAAGACTATCCTTGTCACTGGAGCTTAACAATCAACTTCATTTTCTCTCCTTGGAAAAAGATATGTAGACATCTGAAGGAGGTTTTTCATCAAATGTTCCAGTAACAGCAAGAAAAGTAGCTCAGACTATTACAGGGAAGAGGAATCTCTGGGTATCCCGAAATGGAAAGACATGTGGTGGATTGATGATTCACTTCTCAGAAGAACAGAATCAACAATCTGTAGACCAGACAAGCTATCAAAAGATGTTGTCTCCCAGGTTCAAAGTTCAAGGATGTGATAAGGCTTATCCAACTATTGAAACCCACTGATTATTATATTTTTCTCCTCTTTCATGCTGGGACAAATGATACAACAAAGAGCCTGCAAAAAAACATATATCAAGGGACTATGAGGAGCTAGGCAAGAAGGCAAATGACTTCAAATGGTGTTTTCATCCATATTTCCAGTGGATGGTCAATATCCAATTAGGGAATAGAGGATTTCAGAGGTATTCTGATGGTTCAAAGGATGGTTCAATCAAAAAACAAAAACCCCTTACATGATGTGCTCTAAACATGAGACAGGCTCTATCTGTCTCATGTGTTTGGAAGACAGCTTGAGTCATCCGAAGATTTCAACTAAAACTGGAGGTGGAAAGAAGCTAATTTCTAGGACCAACCCCAAAGCATAAGCCCCAAAATAATGAATTCAACAATGAGGAAGGAAGTGTTTAAAAAGGAAGGGCACTTATATATATAAAACAGAAGGTGTAGCTGGGGTTTCTTAAGAACATATCATGTCAATCAAATCTTATTACCTTCTTTGATAAGGTGACTAAATTAGTGGACCAAGGAAATGTGGTAGATATAGTACACTTAGATTTCAATAAAGCGTTCAATAAAGTAGACTGGAGCCTACTTCTTGCTAAGATAGAACAATGTGGGATAGACAGTATCACTATCAGATGGATCTGCAGTTAGCTGACCAACAGCACCTAATGTGTAGTCTTTAATGGAACTACACCTATGTGAAGGGAAGAATGCAGTGGGGTTCCTCAAAGTTCTGTCTTGAGTCCAGTGCTCTTCAATATCTTCATAAATAACCTATATGAGGGAATTGAAGAAACGTTCATCAAATTTGCAGATGCCACAAATCTGGAGGAAATTGCTAACACTTTGGAAGATAGATTCAAGATTCAGAAGGATCTTGACTGACTAATGTGATCATTATTTTCAATCGTAATGCAATTGGCAAAGCAAACTCTACTCATGTTTATATACACATATCTTTTACAAGTCATTGCACTTAGAACAGCGGTTCTCAACTTGTGCAACCCCTGGGAGGCTGCAATGTCATTTCAGGGACTCTGCGAAGGCTTGAAGAAATGTTATGATTTAAATCTTGAGTTAAGTCTCAGTGGTCCGTGGCCGTGGTTTGTGGGCACAAAAGGTAAATTTAAAAGGAATCCATGGTGAAGAAAAGGTTGAGAATCACTGCACCAGAATATGCAGTCAAGCAATAAAATTAGGAATATTATCTTGGTTTACTATGCATGAATGTTATATAAGAATACACATATACAAATATAATATATGCTGAGGTTGACCAACCATGTGTATGTGCATCAAGATTAACAATGCTCTGGTTGCCCAAGTTTATAATTCAATCTTTCCAGCGAGAGAATATCTAGCATACAGTAATTATTTATACCCAAATGTCCTGTTCTGAATCAGGAAAAGCCAGATAAGGAGGGATTTTTCTTGTTCAATCTGATGTGAATGATTTTTCCTCATTCAGTAAAAGGCTGAAGCCTATATATAACGTGGACCTCATGCTACCAGTAAATTATGTAACATGATTGTCAAACTCACTCATTCTTATCAAAATTGCCATCAATCTTTCAGCACTCTCTTGTAAAAGTCCAGTGTTAACCATATAGCAATTTGCATTCATCTTGGAGAGGAGTAAAAAAGCAGAAACTCTACCCACATAGTTTAGCAGCTAACAAGTTATGTAGGTATCAGATGTCAGTCCTGAAAACTTTTTCTGTACAGCATGATTAATACATGGGTGTGCCTTGACAATGTCTACGACACAGAGTCATTAGAGGTGACTACACATAAAAATGCTGTCTACCAAGTGAACTATCTTATAATAAGCTTCTGCAGTAAACTCCGAAGGGATTTTAATTTATGATGATTAACAGGATACCTTTTCCTCATTCTTTTTGTGACAGCTACTTTAGCCATATCAAAAGCTATTTGCTAACATTATGTCAACTAAAGAGGAAGAAAAATAACTCATGTTTTAAACACCACTCATGTTTGCACCCATTAGGAAGTCAGAATTTTTCAGCAACTACCATTCTCTCTATGATGTGAAAACAAGTAAATTTTACTCTTTTCTCAATAAATCATAGTCAGAAGCCATGATTCCTTCCTGTCTTCTAACTTCAGACAGAAACAAGATAAAATTCCTGGATCACAAGTCATCCCGAGGAGCTATCCATAGTGAGAAGCAATACAGATTTCTTAGCTGTGCTTGACGGAAGGACTTGCCAAATGAAGAACGTAGCAACATGTACCAGTCTGATGTTTATCCTAGGTACTTCACAATTAAAAAAAAAAAATCTCACTATTACATGGAAAGCACTTAACTCTCTAAAACCTTGGGATTAAATCAGTAATGACTTCATTTAAGTATTTATTTCTCCTATCCAAGTTGAAGGCTGCTAAGCCACAAATTTAAATGCTATTTTAATTATTTTAAATACTTGCACTCGAAGTAAACAACGTAAAGAACACAATACAACAAATTAAACAATAACGATTGTTTATAAACGAGACAGAACTTGAAATGACTGTGCACACCAATGACAGCCCCATCAGAGGGGGAAAGGAGAGTTATAGAACCCCTTGGCTTAAGGAGAAAGAAGCTGAGGACTCATTGCAAGGCACTCTTCTACTTCTTCTCTTTGTTTAGCCGTGTTATAAATTATCTCATTTGCAATTCATTTTTATAGTCTCAGACTTTAAACTAAATAAATGTTTACCAGTGCAAAAAATGAATAACCTGCAATAACTTTTAACCACCTCATAAAATGAAAAAACATCTTGCTATCCATATGTAGAGAAGTGCACATCCTATCAGCTCTAGACAGCTGCATGAAAAAACCTCCAGCCTTAAAAGAGAAAAACATTCAATTACTTAGAAATAATTGATAATTAAACAAAGTACTTACTACAATGTAATTCATTTTTATTTTTAAAAGCATAACAAAAAGTAGAAACCAAACCAAAGAAACCAAAGAAGCAAGAACATTTATTCCAGAAGACTACCTGGGACCCTTGCAGAATTGTCTCCCAGCCCTGGTCCTTTCTGGTTTAGTTACTAAAAGTAGCAGGGTTGGGATGCAACTTCCTTGTGCTCAATGAAATTCAGGGAAAGCGTATCACTTCTCTCAATAAACTCACCTTCTCTCCCTGAAGTGAAGGTACAGAATCCCGCAAGCTGTGGAAACTATCCTTGATGTGGTCCCTGCGTTTGCGCTCTAGAGCATTGTGGTGAGCACGTTTGTCAGCCTAGGACATTAAAAACAAAACAACAAAGAACAAGTATTACTTTAGGTATAAAAATGCGAGGTTTCCCCTGCATCCCTGGAATATAAGGAAAAAGGAAGGGTTGTGGAAATCAAAGCCCTGAAAAGAAACAAATTGGTCAACAAAATTATCATTCAAACAATTCAGGACAACTGCAATCATAAAAAATACATTTTATGACTAAAAGAAGGGCTTTTGTCAAACATTATTCAGATATTCCTCCCTGGAATAAATTATTTTAAATAAATTATTTAATACCAAATAGCACTGCCTATTTTCTTGATATTATTCTACAGAAAAGACCCACAATGAAAAATGAACAATTTCATCCAAAATTCCCAAAACAGGAAACCCTGAAAGAATCTTAACTAGTTCAAATATAACCTCTATTCAGAAAACACCATAGGCATATGTATAGATTAAAGCCTCCCAAATAACTCTATATATGCTAAAGCTCTAGGTCAGTGTTTCCCAAACTTGACAATTTTAAGGCATGTGGACTTCAACTCCCAGAATTCCACAGCCAGCAACGCTGGGAGTTGAAGTCCTCATGCCTTAAAATTGTCAAGTTTGGGAAACACTGCTCTAGGTTAGCAGACTTTGTGATATATACAGAGGCATCAGGAGCTGGAGGATAGTTGCTAATGGCTTCTTTCTCTGTTCATATAGTATACAAATGTAATGCAGAAATGAAAACTTTTGAGTAAGTACTGTTATAGCCATACGACCAGGTTCATATTCAAAAATTTTCATTTATGCATTACAAAGCAACTAGAACTACTTAATTTTTAGATGCGGTATGATAATTGTACACTTATGATTTGGTGTCTAACTTCAAAATTACATTTTTCATAAATATTTTACAATTATTTTATGCATATATTCTATACAAATGGAGTAATTTCTTCCACCTGAATTTGTGAACAGTAAAGAATGTGACCATAACTGCAAAGTTTCAAAGATTACTAAAAGCTTTCCTGGGCAACACAACTATTAGTTTAACAACTGACACACATTAATCCAGGCATTAGTCATCATGTTCCAAGTAGGTGACCATCACTAAATAAATTCAACACATCACTAACCATTTTTCATCATACGAATTTTCATAGAGCCATCTAAGCAATAATTTGTCTTCCTTTGTAACAAAAGATATTATAAAAAATACTTAATATTTCTAGCAGAGGATGATGTGGAGCAAAATGGTTCAATGGATAAGAATCTAGCTTATTCTTAAACTTACTTTTTTAAGATTAGTTCAAAATTAATATTTATTAATCTCAAATTGAGAATAATCAGTTTTCAGTTTCTGTAGCAAATATATCTCCATCACTCTGCTTCTGCTCACAGCTATTGGTTTTGTTTTAGTCCTCATTGCTGTTTGAATCCAGGTAGTAACACTGAAATCAAATTATGAGTATATCAGGCATGTCAAACTGCCGGCCCATGGGCCGGATGCGTCATGCCAAAACCGCTTCCACCCCATTGCCGGCAATGGGGAAAAAGTCCCGATACGTTGTGCGATGTCACATGTCGCGAGTTGAAATGCCTGGAGTAGATGGTTTGCTTCTAAATACCAAGGTAGCCTTGAGTTACACAGTTCTGGCAATGATCCCGCAGTCAATTCTGAGCACAGAAATTGTCCATAAATGTAAAAGGATTCTCTGGGTGTGTCGGGACCCCAAATCCAAAGTACAAGCAATTTTTCTTTAACTGTTTCCTTCAGTTAAACCTGACAGGATTTTAGTGGTGGAACCGGACTAAGAAGCAACATTTGTTTTCTGCTGAATTATTTCTCCACAGTATGCCTACTGAAAGGCCCAGACTGTGACAGAAAAGGCAAAGTACTTCAGCTACTTGAAACTATTTCTGCTCACAAGCAGAAAAACGAAAGAAGGCAAGGACAAAAATGTAGGTAAAGTAAATGATACTCATTACTGGCCCAACAAGTCTTATTTAACCATATACACTAAGAAAACAAACAAACAGTTGTCTGTAGATAATTAGGGAAAACTGCCAGCACACACACTAAACTCCAAGATCAAGCTAGAATCTATTATGCAGCAGAAATAATAAAATGAGAACGGCATAAACTAATCCCTTGAATAAATTATATCCATGAAGAAGAATCAGGATTGAAACTCACAAATTCCCTACAAATGTGGATTAAGACCATTAACAGAAAAAAAGTGTACTAGCATTAAAGGTGCTGATAATTCAAAACTAAAAATCACTAATTTTCTCATCTAAATATGAATACAAAATTATATAAATACAGTATGTAAAATTTTAAAGATTTAATATCAGGGTCAAGTACCTTTAAAAGAGCAAATTAGCTGGGGGAAAAAATAGCAAGACCAATTTTTCATTCCACCTTCCAAACTACATGCTAGACTTTAAAATTATTTCAGGTGTTAAGTGTATAATGAGCCGAGGTGGCGCAGCAGTTAGAGTGCAGTACTGCAGGCCACTTTAGCTGACTGTGTTCAGCAGGTCAGCGGTTCAAATCTCACCGGCTCAAGGTTGACTCAGCCTTCCATCCTTCTGAGGTAGATAAAATGAGGACCCAGATTGTTGGGGGCAATGTAAATATATATATATATATATATATATACACACACACACACACACACACACACACACACACACATTGCTTACTGGTGTATACCTCTTAGAGAGTGCTTGCACTTAAAGCGGTATATAAGTCTCATAAATAAATAAATAAATAAATAAATAAATAAATATAATCAAATACACTACCATCAATTAGAAATAAATGCAAAATGGTGTTTAATCTGTACCCAAAGGTGCAAAATAGGGAGCAATGATTACTGACTGCATGTATGTAATATGTTCACAAGTACATGCTGTAATCATAGGAAATAATTTGCAGTCCATAGCAATCACAATTTTCTAACATCTATAACAATTGATCTATTAAATATATATGACTTAGCTGGAAAATAGATTACAATAAAGCATTTGTACTGGAACCTTATGTAGTAGGGTGAGAATGGGGTCAGCTGAGAGGCTTTGCAGGAGCCCTGCCGATTAGGCAGGAAGATGAGGAGCTCTGGCAGTTGGCTGCCATTGTTTTAGGCAAGTTGCTGTCACCAGAGACTGATTAACATCATTCTGGGCAAGTTGTCGTCATTAGAGATTGACTACCATCTTCCCTGTAAGTTCTTATTGCCTGAGATCAACCACCATCATCCCAAGTGAGTCACCGTCAAGAGAGAGCGAACATCACCGCCCCATGTGCATGGCTGCCTATCGTGACTGAATACCACCATGTTACGTGCCCTGTTAGGCAGAGGCGCCAACATGAGAGACCTTTTTGGGCTGGTGGCCACTTGGAGGGGAAGTCGGGAGAGCCGGACTTAAGCGGTCCCTATGGGGGTGACGCTACACTTAAAAAAACCCCTTAAAAAGGTTGTACTGCATAAAACTGCCTCATTATTCATGATTCTTGTATGGTATTATTTCATCTACAAATCTTGACAATGCTGGCATTTTCAGTAGATTATACCGCAAAATGAAATGCACAGACAACTCATTTAGATAGCTTCATTAATCAAAAGGGCATGGTAGGTTATTAGAAACGCTTCCCAGTTCAAAATACTTTGGCCATTAAGTTGACCACTTACCATTCCTTCCAAAGTTTGTAATTCTGGAGGGCATTAGACAAATTGTACTAACTTATAAAGTCCTGCCCGAGCAGGGGGTTGGACTAGATGACCTCCCAGGTCCCTTCCAACTTTACTATTATTATTATTATTATTATTATTATTATTATTATTATTATTATTATTATTATTATTATTATTACCCAATAGAAGATTTCTTTCCCCCACAGAGCCGTCTGATTCCCCATCAAAACAGTAAAAGTAATGCTGGTTATAGAGTGCTAAATTGTCCTGTTTCTATAATTACTTTGTAAAAACAGAACAAGCTATAGTTGAATATTGTATCTGTCTCTGCTGTAATGAATTACTGGCAAGAATTGAGAGCAAGCAAATTGCATTTAAGAAAAGCTGCCAGATCTAATCCAATGAGTTCTGGTTAGCAGAAACCATGCTAGATGCTGATGAACAAGGAGAGCACAAAAACACTAGCTTCCATTCATCAGAGCAAGGTGGCCTAGTGCCATTACTACTTTTATCAGCTATTTTCAAAATAATTTGTCCAGGAAAAACTTAATTCCTGGCATGAAAAGAGAGTGAGGAGAGAAACCAACACTGTTTTTTCTACTAGCAGAAGCTATTTGTTAATAATCAAAACTTGTATGTTATACAAATTTTAGGTATGTTCAAATCAGCACAGAAATAATGGTATTTGATCCTAATTATCATATGCTGATTTTAGGACAGAAAATAGGTGGATAAATATCATGAGGGATGACGTTTTTTGTTCAGGTACAAAATAATGCCATTCAACTATATTATGATTCGGAAATACTAGGTATTATATATCAAGCACAGGAATAGTTTTGAAATAGTTCAGATTATTTTTTTCAATCTGCTGAATAAATTCTGAAAAAAATTAAACTCTTAATTCTGTACCTCCACATAAGAATATTCTTTCAACTATTTAAAATAATTATGCTATAAACATTCCTGATAGTGTCTAATTCAAATATTCATTCCCCTAAGTTTAAAACTAGAGGGATTTTATAGTTTGTTCTCAATACTTCACAAGAACAGGCCTGCTTGTCCTTAAGTATACTTAAGAAATGCCACCCAACTTTTCTTTAGGGCAATATGAAATATCTTGTCATGGAATCATACACATGCAACTAAAATGGGTCATTTCAGCCCGAGAACTAGTAATTTAGAAATGCTCTGGAAGAGATCCAACAAATAGAATGACCCATTTCTACAACACTTGGAATGGCCTATGGTGAAGTTTGATTGTTCTGGGACAGAACGTCTCCCATGCTCATATGCACAGAGACACACACCCGGCGAAAGACACAGACACACAAACACATATGAAATTCTAAAACTTGAAGCAATGCATATCCATGCATATAGTCTACATTGCCTATCCAATTATTTTTTTCCTATTCGAAGTCAAGGCATAGCAATAAAAACATGTAACAGGTTATATACTATAAGCAACTCTGTTACTGTTCACATGCCATGGATTTTTTTGTGTGTCAACCAGCACCTATATCCAAAACCGTTTTCTAGTGATCATTTTAAAATCTGTTCTTTAATTAATAGAAGTTCATTCTCAGTGATGGAAATACAGTAAGATTCTCAACTGATAAAATTAATCTTTCAAACCAGGCCACAGAGGCCACTTAGATCAATTTTGTTTGTTCTGTCTAGCAAAAACTCCAAGACACCTGAAACTACTTTAGCGAGGTGCCAAGGATTTAAATCTAACTCCATTACAACTCAATGGATTTGCCTTAATATAGTAAAGAAAAGAGATTGCTGAAATGCTCCAGACACTACTAGGATGCATACAGCACATTGAATGCAATTAAGTATTATATAACACTAATAACTTATTCTCTTAGCACAATTTCTTAATAATATGATCTTAAATTTAGTACACACATTTACAAAATATATGTTTTCAATAAAGCTCATCTTTAAATAATTAGTAAAATTAATGTAAAAATTTATATTTTTCAAAAGTTTTCCTTTTTGCCACTCATCCAGTTGTGTGTCAACCTAAATTCTGTGCATCGCTAAGCTATTGCCTGAGCATTCAACCACACTGTTTAAAATGCAAGTAATTGCATCTATTATGAAACTAGTAATATATATCAGAAAGAAAACAGAAAGCATTTTATTATTTCTTAGAACAATGATTCCCTATTAAAGAAACAGAGGCCCTGACTCCTTTGTTAAACTGAGCAAATATTAAGCTGAATATTTTAAATAGTAAACGACAAGTTTCTTTTCATCATAGTAATAATCCATTTAACAATTAACTCAGATGAATAAAATAAACTGACATTTGATATAAATACCGACATCTTAACTCATGTGGTATATTTCTACTTCAAAGACAAAGAAAAAATGTAACCTAAAAAAAAAACAAAAAAAAACAGGCAGTGGAAAAAACTTGATCTGATGACTAGTCTCATGAATACAAGATGTAATGTTGACTTCCCAAAATACTCTGGGCCAGTGATGGCGAACCTTTTAGAGACTGAGTGCCCAAAAACTGGCCCCGCCCCCACTCCACCCACTGCCCCACCCCCCACTCTGCCCCCCATCCCCCGCCCCACCTGCCCACAGGACCACTCACTGCCTCCAGGGCCCACCACAGATTGCCCAGGCAGCCCAGCAGTGCTATGATGGCCACACCCTCTGCCCGTGCCCTGCAGCATCAACTGCATGATGGGGTGTGAGGGTAGAGTCTTGTCTACGCTGCCTGGCTGCCATGTCCTTGGCTGCGTTGCTCCGTGTAGGCCCCGCTCGAGGGCGAGTCTCCTTCGGAGGGGCTGCTGGAGGAGGGATCGCAGGGGAGGCAAGGCTGGGGCAATGGCACGTATGCCCACAGAGAGGGCTCCAAGTGACGCCTTTGGCACGCATGCCATGGGTTCGCCACCACTGCTCTGGGCTATCAGTCCAGAGAAAAGAGCTCTACTTGCAGAAGGAAATAAATCCAAATCTTCCTGTTAATGAAAAATGTAGAAGTAAAATATTTTTAGTCAACTCAAAATTTTAATTCTTCTCCTGCCAAACATTATTTTAGGAAACTACCTAGAATAATTTTTCAGGAGGCAAGAAATTGTTGGCAAATTCATTTGATCAACCTGGACAATTGAAGCTCCCCAAATAATTCCAGTCAGAAGAGTTCCGGAACCAAGCCAATAATTAGAAAATCACCAGAGATAATAGAATCAATTAGATGTTATTCTTTTATCACAAAAATCATGCATAGTTTACTTTACATGGTTCGATTCCCAAGGTTTTAGTGGCTATTAATCAAACAGCATTGTTTTCCATCCTATTCAAAAGTTTTTTAAAAGCCTCATATTTAGTGCTTATACATAAATTTTTGGATAATTATGACACAGGCTTATTCATATTACTCAGAGGTTACTCCTATTACTTAACGGACTTCCGGTATGCTGTGTGCAGGACTGCAGCTGTGGTCTTCAAATGAACAATTTTGCTTAATTCCATTGCACAAATTGCATAGCTATGCAGGGCTTCAGTTTTGAAGGAAAAAAGTGCTTCTGAACAAGCAAGGCTGTTTGTGTAGCACCTGTCACAATTCTTTAATGTAGTTTCATTTTTTTCCAGGAACACTAAGGTTCCTCCAAACAGCTAGAACACAATCTCCAGAGAAATCCTATTGTGTTTAAGGTGTTGTAGAGAAGGCATTCATCCTCTCACACTCCAGAGCATCTTTTTTCCTTAAATCTGAGGCCTTGTACAGCCCTAGTGTATACAGTTACACACATGTCCTTAAATAAATATTTTTCATGCACCAGAGTTTTTAAATTATCTTTCATTTGTACAAAACTCAATCCAGTTGCAAATAAATATAGCAACCAGTTAGCATACAATCTCATTCCATAAAAAACTGGATTTCAAAATATGAAATCTGATTAAAGTTGGTTATATTTAATTAGCTATTTAAGTTTAACACCATACTCTTGTTTTTTTTAAAAAAGACTATGCTTCAGTCATTCTACCTTCATTTTTATCTATCTATAGGAAATAAAATTATGTAAATTAATAACCAGGCCATAAGTATATCACCATTTACAAACATTTAAAACTCAGCAGCACAATATTACTGCATCTGTGAGCAAAACAAAGCAACCGGAAAGAACTTTTTCTGTGAATCTCATACCATCTTGCACTACAACTACAGCCACTGGCAAGATAAGAAAACTTGTTATGGTATTACTAGGTTACTTTGTTACAAAGGTTGTTTTTATTATTATTACTGTTTTTAAGTCTTTTATATCTCAACTGCAATCAACACTAAGTAATTCACAAGTCAAACAGTGTGCAGTAAAATGTTGAGTAATACAATGCAGATTTCAAGAAAGAGTACCTTTTGACTCTGCAATTCATTGTTAAAATCAGTGGTACAACCATTTTTTCCACATGTAGATCATGAATATTTTCATATATATTATCCAACATCTGAAGATACAAGGAGATAATTTAGGGAAATTTTCAGTGATACACAGCTTTTTAAAAATAATCTTAGTGCATTTTAACCCCGATATAAGAAAAATCACATTTTCTCATTTATTAAATTCTGACAGCAGTGCAGAAGAAAGTGTTCTTCCACAGCCTACAGGGGTAATTGGTGAGACACTACAGACATAAAGTCTCTCAAACTAGATGCCACTGTAATTTAGAGAGTATACTTTGCCACTCTGAAACATATTCAGCTGACATTCAATACCAGTATATTAAAATTCTTAATCCTTGCTCCACGTGTCATTTCCCTGCCATAGCACTGTCCTGCAAATCCCCCTCTGGCTCTGCTCTCTAGACAGTCTATAATATCTTTAGTTTCTTCTTTCAAAATAACCAGTCTGGCTTTCTGCTGATGTTGGTAAGCAGGAAGCCTCTTTTACCCTGTCTCCTTTCATTTTGATTCCACTATGCTTTAAAAAGAACTCAAAAGGGAAAGGTTGGGATGGGGAAAGCTATACAGGTAGTCCTTGATTTACGACAATTGAGCCCAACATTTATGTTGCTAAGTGAAACATTTGTTGAGTGAGTTTGCCCCATTTTAATGACTTTTCTTGCCACAGTTGTTAAGTGAATCATTGCATTTGTTAAGTTAGTAGCATGATTGTTAAGTGAATCTGGATTTCCCATTGACTTTGCTTGTCAGGTCGCAAAAGCTGATCACATGACCTCAGGACACTGCAACCGTCATAAATATGAACCAGTTGCCAAGCATCTGAATTTGGATCATGTGACCATGGGGATGCTGCAATGGTCGTACGTGTGAACGACGGTCATAAGTCATTTTTTTCAATGCCGTTGTAACTTTGAACGGTCACTAAATGAACTGTTGTAAGTTGAGGACTACCTGTAGTTACCCCACCTGACCTGTTCTGCAAAGCTCCCGTAGAAACTACACCACTTTTCCATTCTCTTGCCTTTTGCTTCAGTCTAACTCATCAGCTCAGAAGACAACAATACTGATCTTTACCTTAAGCGACCGACCACTACCTAGGCAGACCTACCTATAAAAGTTTTTCTCCAACACAGGAGAAATGCCAGCCTTTCCCACTTCAACAGGCCTCTCTGTGCCATTACAACCCAAAGGCCCCTTCTTCGCATGCCCGCCTCTCAAGCCAGTCTCCCGGGGGAGGGGGGCACGAACAGGCTAGCCTCCCTTCCTCTTCCCTTCCGCCAATTCCTGTACTACCCCGGTCCCCCGGTAGGGCTTTGATTGCCGGGCCGCGCTCTCTGCCTGGGGGGGTGTGTGTCCGGGAATGAAAGGGATGATGGTTGGAGGGGGGAACAGGAATTAAGCGAATGAAAGGCAGAGAGACGTGCCGCAGACTGAAACCTTCCTGCAGTAAGAAAGAGAAAGGGAGACAGAAGAGAGATGCGCGCGTTCCTGTCAGCGCCACTCAGCCAGCCGCGCCCGCCGCCGCCTGACAAGCTCCGCCTGACCGACCGAGAGAGGGAAGGGGAAGAGAACCCGGACGTGGTCGGGGAAGGAAGGGGGATGCGGGAGACCAGCGAGGCACTCACGTCGCTCTCCACCTCGATGTCATCGTTGTCGCTCATCGTTGTTGCCGGCCGGGCAGTTCGGGGGTCTTCCAGGGAAGCGTTGCGGGCCCAGCCGCGGAGAGCCGCCGCCGCTGCCGCAACAACAACAAGCCCCCGCGCGGAGCAGCTTCAGCCTCCTCCTTCTCCGTCGTCGGCGTCTCCGTCGTCTCCTCCTCCAGCATCAACGGCACACGCACCTCGTCCTGCACGTGACGACTGAGCCCCGCACCGTCCACTCGCTCTCACGTCTGCCGCTCGCTTTGCGGAGCCTGCTGGGAAATGGAGTCCGCTTCTGATCCGAAGAGCAGCGAGCGCCGGGGTTCTGGGACTCTGATCCCCAGAGGCCTTTGTTCTCTGAGGTCACAGTCTGCGCAGTGTCTGCGCAGGGCGTCACGGAGGATGTAGTCCCTGGGAAGGAAAGAAGGGCTCGGTTTCCCGACAACTTGAGAAGGGGACACGTGGATGAGAGGACGGATAGCAAGATGTGTTTGAGGATTGTTTTGTTTTGGTCTATTTTGTGCCTTACGGAGCGGACTTTTTTTGTTTTTTTGTTTTGAAAGAAGAAAAACGATGTGCCTTTCAGTTTCTACAAACTAAATCGGATTTTTTCTACTCACAATGAAAAAATAAACGAAAGCGAGACTTGATGAATAGTAACACTTAAAAAAACAGCAGAGGAAGCACTTCCTGTTGTTATTCTGTAACAAGCAGGAAAGTTGCCATACTCCCAATGGAAACGTTTCAAAAGGAGATGCCAATCTAAAGTTGCTTGACTATGTGAGAAATGTTTGTCGTTTATAGTGCAAAATAGTATCCCCTTTAAAGTATTTCTATGTACAATGCTCCATTGCCAATTAAATTGGGAAAGTTCCCTAATCCACCGATTGAATTAAAGCATCATTTATTCAGTTAAAAAAGTTTTATTTACATCTGGATTTTGTTGTAATATGACATGGATTAATTAAGCCAGTCACTTTCTCTGCCCAATCCACCTTATAGTGCTGTTGTGGAGAAAATATGAGAAGGAAGGAGTATGTTCACTGCCTTGAATTTCTCATAAAGTCATAAAGGTGAGATAAAAAAATTAATTATTTTCAGGGATGTATTGTCTTTTAATATGACCTTTTTTTTAAAAAAAAGTTCCCTTTTTATCTACTGAGAAAGGAAGTTATTTTCTAACCTAGGCATATTGAAAATGCAAATATTGTTTTTGAGTATGCTGCTATAGTATTTACTGTTAACAGTGTGGTAAGGCTTTAGAAAATATTGCTGTAACATGAACTAATATTTTTATGTGTCAGATTTTATCCCCACATGGCTTGTTATAATTAGTGCACAGTCTTATATTAATTTCCCAGCATTCTTATGATGTGTCTCTAATTAATCTTTCTGCTATGTATAAAGACTGTGTTTTTTTAGTTGTGAATAGATGACCTGAGACCTGTTGGGTTATAATTTCAGAGATATTTTCTTACCAGATTCTTCAATGCCTTCAACTTTGGTAGAGCTTCTAATGTACTTGAAAAGTTCTTTAAAAACTTCTTTAAAATTCCAGGAGATATTCAGAGATCTCTGCCCTGAAAGTAGCCCATGTTGAACTGTATAGCACAGTCAAACATCAGTTGACCACAGAAAGTGTTTTATGACATTTTGTATTATGTCATAATATGTTTTATGATAATTTTATAACATTTGGCAAATTTCAGATCCACAAGAGTCATGGATCCCAGATTCTAGATGTACTCTGTAAATTAATCAATCTCAAGTACTTGGTTAAAAAACTGTTGCTGTATAACGTACCATTTCGCCCAGTTAAAGATGACCAGCGCATCTGTATAGATTCTGCTATACAGATACCAGCAATGATTATTAGTGGAGTAATGGGACTGATTTTGACCAAAAAGAATTTGCACAGATGTGACAGTAATGGCCTTCTCTGTATGCAGAAGGCATTGCTTTTTGTTGTGGATAAAATATTTGGAATGTCCATAGAAAAAGAACAACTCTCTAGCATCAGACAATTGGAATTTCACTCATAACCTAGAAATGATGCTAACAGAAAATACTTCCAAAAAATATACCAAACCAACAAAAGCTATTCTGCTTTCTCTAGTGTGGATACAATCTCCCCAGCATAAATTACTATATGGTTCTACTGGATAAACATTGGATATCAGAGAAGCTAAGCCTGTGGCAATGAACTAGTACACCATTACAGACAGACTCCATCATCTTTGATTCAAGCATCTTTGGTTCAGCATAGCCTTTATTCAAAATACCATAAAATTTATTATAAAAAATAAAATGCTAAATATTGTTCAATATTTTTGTTGCAATAATTAAGTATTCCTTGGTATCCTGAGATTCTTGAGTTTTTACATATATATATACATATACATTTTTTACATGTATTTCATGTTATATTTTTTGGGGGGTGGGGGGAGATGATAATGACTTTAGAGACAAGATCCTAGTTCTAAATTCTCTTGATTTTGGCTCTACAAGGTATTAAAAAAAGATCTGCTCAGTCATATTTTTCACTTGGGAAAGGAAACCTTTACAGATAGTCTTTGCTTTATGATCATTTGTTCAGTGACTAAAGTTACAGTGGTGCTGAACAAATGATAGTTACCATTGGCTCCCAATGCTACATCTTTTGCAGTGCCCCTGCAGTCACGTGCTCAAAATTTGAGTGCTTGGCATCCTCCTGCATTACAACCATTGCATATGACTGAATTCTCAACTGGCTATTCCTTCCCAATCTCTGGTCTTTTTGACCACCCTGCCCTCTGCCACTGCCACCTACCCCTGCCATCTCCCCATTACCCCCAGCTGACTTTTGCTATCTTCTTCTTCTCCCTGAATGAGGTAGGCACAGCCAAGGTAGCTACTGGCAAGGTATCACAGAGGCTCATAAAGGCCTTGCAAAGGGTCAGTAACTGCTTCATCAAGAGCAGGAGGAAAATGGTCAAGGTCAGCTGGGGCTGATAGGGATGGGGAGGAGGTAGTGGGTGGGGGAAGTTGAAACCAGATGACCACAACAGATCAGGAGTAGTGTGAGATGCTTGTCTATGACTGTAACCAGGACTACCAGAACTGTTGTTGCTAAGGTGTGTAGTCCTGTGATGTTTTGCCCAATAACTGCTTTGCTTAGTGATGGAAATTAGAGTCTTTAAATGAGGACTCTAAAACAGAGCTTTTCAACCGGTGGTACGCGTACCACCGGTGGTACTTTAGCACTTGGCAGGTGGTACGTGACCCCTAGCCAAGTGTAGCGGGGGAGGGAAGCAGCTAAAGCTGTGCCGCACAGACCTGGAGACCAGCTGGAGCTGCAGGGCTCGGCAGAAGCCCCAGGATCTGCACGCACGGCTGCATGCTGATTGGAGCTTCTGGCACACCCAGAAGAGAAAAGGAGGAAGAGGAGGCAGAGAGAGGAGAAGCTATAAAAGGAGCAGGTTTTGGCGGGAGAGGAAAAAAAACACATGGAGAAAGAGAGAGAAGAGGCTTTTGTTAGTGAAGCGGTGAGGAGAGAGAGAGAGAGAGAGAGAGAGAGAGAGAGAGAGGCCTTTGCGAGCGAAGGGTGAGTGAAAGTGAGCGAGGGGCTTTTGCGAACGTGTGAGTGAATGAGAGCAAAGGAGAAGCTTGTGTGAGCAATGTGTGTGTGTGAATGAGAGCAAGCGAAAAGCTTTGCTAGCAAAGGGTGAGGGGGTTGCGAGCAAAGGGTGAGAGAAAAAGGGAAAAGTGAGGGGGAGAAGGGAAAAAGAAAAGAAAAAGCACTGAGTTCTTAGTTCCACTGTTGCAATAGGAAGGAAGCATTAACACTGAACCTCAACTTTTTACTTTTCCATAATATTATAAACTAGTCATTTCTATAACAACGAATGTAACCAGTAAAGCCCCAAATCCCCCCCTTTTTAAGTTATCAAGTTTTTGACACCTTGCTAAGCGCTGGTGGTACTCAAATATTGTCATGTCCTAAAAGTGGTACAATGTGAAAACACTGATGATTGGTATCATCAGAGTCTTCAGGTAACATCAATGTGGTGAATCTGGTGTTATACAATACGGAAAAGCATCTGTATGTAGTTAAATCCCTTTTCCCAAATTTCTAGATAGTATCTTTTGATCACATTCAAAACTATTGCAGAAAGGTATGTTTAGATATCAGTGATAGTTACTTATCAGTTGTCTCTCTTCTTTATCATCACAGAGACACTTTAAAGCAGGTGTGTCCAACCCATGGCCCACATCTGGCCCTGGTCAGCTAGTAATGTGGCCCCACAAGATATAATAAAAAATAAAGGAAATTTGGTATTTATATACATTAACAATATTATAAATTTGATATATGGCCCATGACAATTCCTCTTTACTCAATGTGGCTCAGGCAAGCCAAAAGGTTGGACACCTATGCTTTAAAATGTTGTCTACAATAGTACTAAATTACAAGGATTAAATGCAAATATTAAATGGTTTTCTTGACATTTCTAGTTTGTTATTTATTGTAAACTTATGGACATAGTCACCTTAGAAATGGATTTAAAGTATTTTTGTATATATCATTGTATATCTAAATTATAAGGAAGGTCAGTATAGCTGTCTCCCTTTCTTTGCTTGAAAGAGCTATCTCATAACTACCTGTTAAGTATCAGTATACCCCTCTTTCCTTCCCTGCTTCCCAAGGGTTATCTCATAAATAACTTTTGAAAATACCTATCTTTCACAATCCATGAAGGCTGTTTCAAGGAAATTTGCACTTGAGTACCTAGTAACTTCGACTATTAGAGAGTGAGGACAAAGCAGGGGGGAGTCCTAAAGTCGACTTATTACAAATGACCTATTTTAAATGACCCAGCAAACCCCACTCCCACCAACACTGACAGAGCAAGCCACTAGAATATAAAATGAAAGCAAACCTCACTCTCTACCACACTGATGTTATTGAATTTGGATAATGAAACATCTGCAAGGAAACAATCATGCTCCGAAGCACTCAAATGACCCATTCTTCAAACTAAAACATGGACCCAGATTTACTAAACTCGAAAAGCAACTCAAGGACATAATTTACACAGTCTTTCCATGGCCAAGTTAAAACATTACAGGAACAACCCCAGGAAGAAAACGTTAGTGATGTAGGGGGAAGCTGAAATCTAAGGCACTTGAGATTCATATCTTGGCCCATATTTTAAGGGTCATAGTGAAAGCAAAGCAGGAATTACCCCCTGTTATCCCCAACTTCTTCCCCAAAGGCCTCCCCATAGGCATGTTGTCTCCTCCGCCGAGGGCAGTGTGGTGGGCCATCAGGTTCATTGGCTTCTGCTTCCTCCTCCTCTTGCTCGCCCTCTTCCTCTTCTTCCTCTGAATCAGTTGCATCAGAGTTGTCCTCCAGGTAGCGGTAACCTCGCACTTTGTGGCGAGGCTTGGGAATCTTAGGGAGACGGTGGGGAACACTCTGGGCTATCTTACATTCCATCCATATATAGGAGAACACCGCAGCAAACAAAGTAACAAGCAGGATGGATAATTTAGCCTGGAAGGAAAAGCCTCTATTAGTTACAAAACAGCAAAATGCAGGTGCTCCTTTATTTTGTCCTGAACCTCGTATAGGAGGAAGTCAGCAAAGTTGCACAAAGTATCTTGCCTTGCTTTAGAGTAGTGCTCAACCTTCCTAATGCCGCGACCCTTTAATACAGTTCCTCATGTTGTGGTGACCCCCAACCCCCCATCCAGCTCGCCGGGGGTATCAAAAACTTGACCAAAAAAAAAAAAAAGGAAAAAATGGGAAAGTATAGGTAGTCCTCGACTTACAACAATTCGCTTAGTGACTGTTTGAAGTTACAACAGCACTGAAAAAGCGAATTATGATTATTTTTCACACTTATGATTGTTGTAGCATCCCCAGGGTCATGTGATTTACATTCGGATGCTTGACAACTGATTCATACTTATGACGTTCACAGTGTCCCAGGGTCACGTGATCAATGGCCAGGGGGCGTGGCCAGCTGATCACTCAGGTTGCAGAGTGCCTGTGGGAGGGAATCTGTGGGTCTCTGGGATGGGACTGGGATGGGTGCCTGCCTTCCTTCCCTCCCTTCTCTCCCCTTGTCCCTTCCTTCCTTCTTTTCTTCCTTTCCTTCACCTCCCTCTTAGTCTCTTCCTCCTTCCCTCCCTCTCCCATTGTCCCTTCCTTTTCTTCCTTTCCTTCACCTCCCTCTTGGTTTCTTCCTCCTTCCCTCCCTCTTTCCCATTGTCCCTTCCTTCTTTCCTTCCTTTCCTTCCCCTCCCTCTTAGTCCCTTCCTTCCTTCCCTCCCTTCCATTGTTCCTTCCTTCCTTCCCTCTCTCATTTTCCCTTACTTCCCTCCCTCTTCATCCCTTCCTTCCTCCCCCCTTCCGTGCCCAGGAAGGGACAAAGGGAGGGGGACAGGCTGGCAGAGGAGAGCTCCGCCCAGCTCACTTGCTCAGCTTCGCCAGAAAACATGCTGCTTGCTAAGTTAGCAGAAGCCCCAGGATCAGCGCTGGGCTACAGCTGATTTGCGCTTCTGCTAAATTAGCAAGTGGCATGTTTTCTAGCAAAGCTCAAGCAAGTTTGCTGGGCAGGAGCCAAGGAGAGCTGCTACAGCTGACCTGCTTCTTGGCTGCTCTGCAAAAGTGCGGATCAGCTGTAGAGGTTCACCCCGATCCTGGACAAGAGGGAAGGAAGGACGGAAGGGACAAGGGGAAAGAGGGAGGGAAGGAGGAAGAGACTAAGGGAGGTGAAGGAAGGAAGGAAGGAAGGAAGGAAGGGACAAGGGGAGAGAGGAAAGGAAGGAAGGCCAAAGAGGGAGGCGAAGGAAAGGAAGGAAGGAAGGAAGGAAGGAAGGAAGGAAGGAACAAAGGAAGGGACAATGGGAGAGGGAGGGAAGGAGGAAGAGACCAAGAGGGAGGGAAGGAAAGGAAGTTCCAGCCAGGAGAGGCTTGGCAGCCCGGCTGCTGAGAAACAGAAAAGTGCAAAGCCAAGGAGAAAAAGGTGGCGGTTTCCTCCCAAAGGGGCTCCTTTTCTCCACCCCTTCCCTGGGTTTGTGGGGAATTTCTCGTCACCAATGCTGACAGGTGCTCCTTCGAGCCCGCCGTGAGCTTTCTCGTCCCCTTTGCTTCTCCCCCCCGCTTTCGTGAGGATTGTGGTGCCTTTGGGAAGCCGATCATGCTTTCAAGCTTAGGAGAGGAATCCCTTCCTCCTTCCCTCCCTCTCTCCCTGTCAAGCCCTGGCGGGCTTGACATGAACGGGCAGAGGAGGAGTCGAGGACAGGCGGGGTGGTAAAGGAGATTGGCGGCTGTCGCCAGACCTCTCAGCTGACAAGCGCAAGTTCGGGGGTCGCCAGCTGACGGGCGCAGGAGTTGGGTGCTGCGGTGGCCTCCCCTTTGCTGACCTGCGTGCACGAGAAGAAATCAATTCGGTTGCTGCACAATGAGTCTCTGGGGAAGGCAGGGCCTTGCTCTGTGCCTGCGCTCTTCATGCACCCCCTGCAGGGCACATTTGGTAGAGTTTGTGCAGACTGCCGCCAAGCAGCATATTTTCCACAAACAAGTGAGGTGGTGCGGAGGGGGGGAGGGAGAGAAGGCGTTGACAAGCCCTGCCTAAGACCATCGGAAATATGTGTTTTCCGATAGTCTTAGGCGACCCCTGTGAAAGGCTCGTGTGACCCCCCCAAAAGGGTCGCGACCCACAAGGTTGAGAACTGCTGCTTTAGAGTTTTTCTTTTTTATTGCCAAGTGTGAAGGGAAGCAAACATAATCAAGGCAAGGTTGAGTTTCTTTTTAATGCCTTTATCTTTCTCAAGCAGAGTAATCTTTTCTGTCAGTTTTGCCTTAATGCAGGGGTGTCAAACTACCGGCCCGTGGGCCAGATGCATCATGCCGAAACCACGCCCACCCCATTACCGGCAATGGAAAAAAAGTCACGATACGTTGCGACACGTCACATGACATGGTGAGTTTGACACTTCTGCCTTAATGGTTTCTTCATTACTTCACTCTTCCCAGGTGAGGCTCACACTAGATCAGAGAAATTCCCCTCCTTTCCCACTTTATATCTTATCTGCATTTTACCAAAGAATAAAAGGATGTGTTCTATCCTTTGACCTGGAGAATTCTCTTTTGTGCGTGGCTCCCTCACTCACCTTCATGGGCAGATTAGACCAGCAATAAACAACAAACATGGCGCAGGCTTGCCACCAATGGTAGATGGTGAAGATGAAATCCTGCCGTTCTTTGTCTTCATAAAGCATCCCCAGAAGTGCTGCAGGAAAGGAGTGGTGCATCAACAGAATTGTGAGACTGATTTTTGTTTTCTCTCTCTCTCTCTCTCTTTTTTTTTTACTCCCATCAGTAATCCAACACTAATTGGCTGGAAAGTTACTGAGAATGGGAGGAAAACCTGGCTAACAAGAAAGCACCCCAAGGTGCAAACCATTGATAAAGAAACCATCTTGGTTAGTGAAGAGAGAGGATGTTCAGGTAAGAAACAGTTCAAAAACTTAATGTTATGCCTTTTAAGCAATTTTCAACTAATCATCATGTAGTACGTCATCCAAGGAAATTATTTTTATTATTCAGCTTGGCTTGATGTACTTCCTGCTACACAGAGAGTCCAACAAGTACCATTTGGTCTGGAGCAGAACAGGAGCAAAGATCTGTTTGTTCCAGGAGAGGAACCTGTGACACAAAGTAAAACATTATTTACTCACTGCTGAGTCCTGTCTTGTTGAGGGCACTGCCAAGGCCCCAGAAAGCAGCCACCAGGTAGATTATGGGTGCTTCAGCTAAATTTTTGGCTTGAGGCTCCCAGCAGAAGAGGGCAATCAAGAGGATGGCGTGAATAGAAGCTCCAGTAAGCAGTGGACCTTGACGAGGCAGCCTCAGCATAGTTAGTACCAGAGTAGAGCCAACAGCAGATGCAATTCCATAAGCAGTGAGAATATAAGCCATGTGTTCCAGGCCAATACAACAGACACCATAGTTCTGTAACAGATGAGGAAAGAAAGCATTAGCTTACAGATGTCATTGTGCACTCAGTCCCTCCTATCTGAGAAGTTTACACGTACCAAAGTAAAGTCGGTGCAAAGGAAGAGCACTTCAAAGCCACTGTAGATGAAGAAGAGGAGGAGGTAGCGCAGGCGGTAATCTCGCATGTGCTTGAAGGGAAGCTGGAAGATGTTGCCCCATCCAATGCTACGCAGATCAATCTCCTCCGTGGGGCGATAAGCTGAGCCACAAAGAAGCAACACCTGTGGGAACAAAAGGCCATTGGGGGATGACAAGGACAGGGAAGAAGTAGATCTCTCGACTTTCTCCCACTTTCCCCATATCAGTGAAAGCAAATTCTTTGGATCAGGGAAATACATTTATTTCAACATGTCGCTCATTTGCTTAAATATTAGAGATTACAGAATGAACGAATCTAAAAGGGGTTAGCATTTTCAATGGCAGACCTATCCTCAGGCTTAATTCCATCCTTCTAGAAGCAAAATAGAAAAATAGAGTATTTCTGCTCAGCTTTACAGCTGTAATATATAATATATTAATATATTAGGGGACAATTTACAACCAAGCTACTTTTGTCATAATGCAGCAACATAGCCATTAGTTAGATATCCGCGTTTACATGTATCCTCCTGCAGATGTGTAATGCCTTGGAGATCAAAATGTGTTGCTAACCCATGCAAAACAGGAACATGTTCATCAACCAATACTTTTGACTATTCCAGATGGGAATGAGGCTGTCTTATAGAAGGTATTACTTTTGCAGATTCCACAATCTAAAAATAGAAAGTTAGCCAACCAATATTATTGATTTTTAATGCTGTACACCACCTGGAGTCACCATGGGCAAGTTGGGTGGCCATATAAATTTATTAAATAAATAAATATTTGCAGCACATACCATGAGCATGGAGAGGAAGGCTACTCCCATCAGCACGCTCTCCACTACGATGAGCTCACTGCTGCGAGGCAATTTCTGGAGAACTGTACTATTGAACCCAATGAGGATCCCATGACTTGCAGTCCCTAGAAAAGAAAGAGATCTTGGACTGACTTGAGTCCCCAGTTGGACAAGTGGTGGAGAAGAAGAGGAGATGGCATTGCAAGTGATTTAACACCTCCTAAGGGAAAAGCCAGGTATGTAACAGCCTGGCCAAATCATAGCTGCCATCTTAATATTACTCACCACAATTCTTGACATCGTAAAGTGTGTGGTTCAGCTCGAAGAGATAATTCTTCAAGAAGAAAAACATAGGAAACTCGGCATAAACAAAGCTCAGCTGGAAAAGAGGAACAGAAGGAGCTGTCAATTTCATTAGTGGTGGGAGAAAATTAAAAGCCACACCAAGAACCTTTCTGAAATGTTGAGCTTAGCAGCAGAGCTGTCGTTTCCCAGCTGACAAGGGAGGACAGCATAAGGCACTATCTAACATCTCTTCCTCCCCCCAAATCAACTTGGTTGTGTTGAGTTCTCACAAAGAAAAAGCCATAGAAGACTGCCTCAAAGGTAATGATGTAGGAATTGTAGGCACCACGTGGTGCCCGTTTCTGCTCCTGGACATGTTCCAGCTTGTAGTTCACATGTTCATAGTATTTCTGTGCCATCCTATTAGAGGTGTAGAAAAAGAGGTCATGGGTTAGCCTGGCAGGACAAAGCATAGTTTCCCATTCCCAGGAGACTTCTGTAAAGCTTAAGCTAAACTGTATATTGCTTCTTCATATGGAGCAGCCATGCATTGCTTACACAAAGCAGAAGCATCCAAAGAGTTGGCAATTCATTTCCCCACCACCACAGCTTTAATACCTGGGTCAATCTGCATTGATACCTATCAAGCTGGCAGAAAGTTTAATAAATATGATAAAGCCAGCTTTGTAGCTCAGCATATATTTTTTTCCTTCCCAGCCCAATCTTTGCAACTGGCTCACCTGAGGATGTAGTTGCCCAGAGATGCCCAAAGAGGTACAATGGCAGCCCCAATTGCCACTGCAGATGGTACCAAAGTATAGTAGCGCTCCCAGTAATTAGTGGAGACAAAAAGTGCATAGATGCCCACTGCCAAGAATAGCATCCATTTAGTGCCAAAAAATCTGGAAAGATAAAGAAAGGGACCTGGATTCTGGATGTTCTGAAGGCGTGGCTTTAGAGCTTTTAAAGCTCTAAAGCCACACTAAGAGTCTGTGTAGAAGAAAGAACATTGATCCAGTATATAGCGTTACCTGATGAATATTGGAGTATAGAGAAATGCAGCAAGGGGTGTGATGCTAATGCCGAGCAGCATTTTGCTATCAATATTCTGTAGTCCAAGGTTGCTATATTTTACCTCCCGGTAGGTCTCATCATAATGCAAAATGAGCTGCATCTGAAGCAGACCTGTGGAAGACAACACGAAAACTCAAGGATTGATCCTTTTGGCCCTTGGTCTGTCATTTGGCTGCTGCAGAAAGCTTCCATCTTCAGCACCGTGTTCATCCATTGCATTAAGCCACAAATTATGGTTTACAAACCACAAAGACTGAGTTTTCACAGCACATCAATCCCAAACCAAGCAAGCCAAGTTGTGATTCTGCATGATGTGGGAACTGAACTATAGTGATGCTCAGAAAAGACGAAAAAAAGCACACCCTTGTTTCTCCAGGATCCTAATCTACTTCATCCTGTTAACAAGAAGCTTATCCCATCTGAAACTTAGCTATCTTTCTAGAGTAACACAGAATCAACAGAATGAAAGCTTAACATGTCTGTCTGAATATATTCTTGGTAGCTTAAAAAACAGTTGTGGATTTTTACAAATCCTGCACATCATCTCTGAGTTCTAGACAATAACGCTTCTCAATTGCTCTATATTTGAAAAATGGAAAAGTAAATGTCTAAACTAACATCCCTACAATTTACTTGGGGCACAAGACTAATGTGGGGAAAAATGCATGCGCAGCAAACTGCCGTGCTTCCCCCCCCCCACAAATCTCATAACCTTTTGATACCCTTTGTCCCAGTGAAGCAGCCAGAAAGTCATACCCTTTTGACTTAATGCCTCACCTACCTAAACAGATAATATGCTTAAGTTCCTTCCTATCTCTTTCTGTCTTTGTCAGTTCTTTCTACCTGTGTTTGCTCTTTACCTGGTCTTTGATCATGTAATGTGTTACTAGAAAATAGTTGCTTACATGAAGACATTTTCCAATGAAGAAACCTTTGTCAGTATCTAATGGTAAAGCCTATGTATGTAACAAGTATATAAGAAGCAATAAACTCAATTTGTCAAGCTGTGTCCTGCAGCTTCAAACCTCTGCTCAAGACATGCCTGCGTCTTTTTCTTAGCATCTTACAGACTAATTCTCTGCAGATCTCCTGTTTAACTTAGAAGTATATAGCAAACTCTGCAAGTAGAATCTCATGCAGATTAGATTGGACAAAATAGTCATACACTGCGTTCCTTTGTTGAAGCAGTGTTACTTGGTGGGGGCCAGGAAGCAGAGCCAAAATGTAGCTGGTGCTACCTTACAGAATAGCCTCCCCCCCCTCCCCCACAGTACAGAAGGCCCTAACTCTATTGGCCTTCCATAAGGCCATGAAAACCTTTTTGACTAGGGACAAAATAATAAGCACTCTTTATGAAAGATTGGACTTTTGCTAAAAACAGATAAAAATAAACCAGTGATTTCTGGATTTTCAGATTAAAAAGGTTGAATATGGAAGAAGGGGATTATATCATCCTAAAGAGGGAGAAACATAAAAATTTGTATCTCTGTAAAGAAGTTCAGAAGATGCGTCTTGAAGTACTTCTCTTCTCCTTTATCTGTACTGTTTTCAACACTTCTCTTTTTCTCATTTATATGCTCTTTGGGTTTTTTTAATTATTTAAAAACTCTCCAAAAAATGAAAAAGGGAAGGCAGTAAAGATTGGCTTTACTCCAGAAGTCCCCAACCTTTTGGGCACCAGGGACCGGTTCCGTGGAGGAAGGTTTTTCCACAGATCGGAGGGGGCGTGGTTTTATGTGCTGCCTGCATCCCACAATTGGGGCTTTGCTTGTTTGTGCGGTCCGGTTGTTGGCATGCCGCAGCCTGGTACCAGTCTACGGCCTGGGGGCTGGGGACCCCTGCTTTACTCCATACAGAGGTGAGGGTGTTGATGGAGCTCTGGCATGCTTGTATGTGATCTACATGTATGAGACTTTGGGGGGGGGTGCTGGACTCTGTATGTTTGGTTTAAGTTGATTTTGATATTTGTGTTATGCTTTTATTTTTGTTTGCCACCCATAATTCTTCTGGTAGATAGACAGCCTTGTAAATTTGTCTAGCAATAAATTAAATAAATAATTCTATGGCCGAAGGAGAGAATGGTTAATTCCTGCAATACCTACCTAGAAAAACCCCATAGGTCAGCATCCCTGCCATGCTGGCTGCCAAAAGATTCTTGACAACTCCAAGACGTTTACGGCGGAAGTACTTTCGCTCTTCTTCTTCTTCATTGTATTCTGCGTGAGCCTCCACAAAATTCTCCAGCTGAAGACAGAAGCATCATAAGGAGTTGGGAAAAATGCTCTGTGAAGTGGGTTAAGATACACACACAGACAGACATATTTCAGACCTGCAATCAAAGCTAGGATTATAGTCAAGAAGGTTAGTAACACTCTTAAGAGTTCTAATGTCCAATGTAAGGCTGTTTTGGGGAAGACATGCAATGAATGCAAGTAGTTTAAGTATTGAGGAGCATATACATAAGCACATACGTACATATGTATGTATAGGTAAAACTTTTAGTATGATTATAATACATGCAGATGGCTTCTCCACACACGGACACTAAAGGGAGGCTTCACCCAATCATTATTGTGCATCCAAGTTTTAAAAAATGTTGATCATTTCTATGAAAGAATACATATGGCATTGCTGCAGAGAGAACTTTTCATCTAAGAGAATTAAAAGTCCTTAGATGGCATTTCATCATCAGGTCTAATTTATATACATATGTTTCTTAATGGTTGGAAATAACTCAGGTTTTTTTTTAAGTTTGTTTAGGTAATATGTTAACATGTCTATGGATGCTAGTAGCTTTATCTCATTTTGGTGCTTTCAAAGTCATACATTTCAGCACTTAAATGTTGTATGCAAGAAATGACCATTCTGTAAAAATGGTGAAAATGGGGGGGGGAGGGGAAATGCAAGGATTGTATCCAATCATGTTCACAGCAAATTTGGAAGGTGCATGAAAGTGCAAGTCATAACAAAGGAGGAAATATCCCCCTAGCACTTATAAGGGCATAAACATATCAAGGTAGCAAAGATTGCTTCCAACACCTTGACAAAATACTGCAGCTTAAGCATTGGGAAAATGCCACAGAGTATTCCAGCTCTAAAATAAACACTTCCCCGAGAAAGATATTGAAGAAAGTTGTAACTTGTACGAAACAATTGCATATTTATGCGTTGAAAAGCTGGTTTAAAGCCATACTGCAAAATATTACTTCATATATATACATACATATATACATACATACATACACATGGTAAGACTGGGCAGGCTCCATCTCTCCAGCACTAGTTCTGAAAAAATAAGAATGAAGAAGGTAATCACTTATTACATGTTAGCCCTTCTCCCCCTCCAAAAAAGTAGGTTGCTTAAACCAGGGCTTTTCAACCTTTTCACCCATTGTACCACTTTTAGGATATGGCAACATCCAAGTACCACCAGTCGCCTAGCAGGGTGTCAAAAACTTGATGACCCCCCCCCCCAAAAAGGAAAAAAGTGATAAAGTACAGGTAGTCCTCGACTTACAACAATTCGCTTAGTGACTGTTCAAAGTTACAATGGCACTGAAAAAAGTGCCCCCCAAGCCATAGCCGAGCAAGACGCCTGCCTGCCCACCTGGTGGCGCTCTTTCTCCTGCCTGAGGTTTTCATTGTGAGCATTTCTGTTGAGGATTGGGAGCAGGGGTGGGGTGGGAGGGTGTTTGGTTTTTATTCCCCCCGTCTGCTGGGTGGTTGCAGCAGGTTTTGGTCACTTCACATGACCCTGGGACACTGTGACCATCATAAATATGAATCAGTTGCCAAGCATCTGAATGTAAATCACAAGACCCTGGAGATGCTGCAATATTCCAGCTGATCGGCGCTTCTTCTGGGCTCAGCAGAAGCAACAGGATCAGTGCTGAGCTCCAGCTGGAGCCTGGCGCTGATCCTGGTGCTTCCACTGAGCCCTGACAGTCCCGAAGAAGCGATGATCCTGGCATTTCCGCTGAGCCCTGACAGCCCTGCAGCTCCAGCCATCTCTCAGGCTTGTGCAGTGCTGCCACCGGTTCAGTTCATTCCCTCCCCTGCTACTTTTCTAGGATGGTCGCGTACCACCTGCCAGGTGCCAATGTACCACAGGTGGTACCCGTACCACTGGTTGAAAAGCCCTGGCTTAAACTCTCTAAACCAGTAATTCTCAACCTTTTTAATGTCGCGACCCCCAATCGGTTGTAAGTTGAGGACTACTCAACTGGTGCAGCACCGTTTGCAGAATGGGACTTTTGGCGGGCTCAGCAGGGCAGAGACAGCCTGGACAATTCCTATTGGCTTTTGAAAGCCAATAGAATTAGACTCTATTCGAGAGAGTCTATTCTATTGGCTTTCAAAAGCCAATAGAATAAAAGGGAGTAGCACAGCTAAGGAAAAGGGGGAAAAAATGGCGGACTGTGTTGTTTGGCGACCCCCGTGAAATGGTCGTTCGACCCCAAATGGGGTCCCGACCCACAGGTTGAGAACCACTGCTCTAAACAATTTACAACAAACAGAATACACAGACAAACACACACCCTACAGCAGGGGTCCCCAGCCCCTGGTCCGTGGACCAGTACCAGGCTACGGCATGCCAGCAACCAGTCCACACAAATAAGGAAAGCCCCATCTACAGGATGCTGACAACACACAAAACCACACCCTCTCCGGTCCACGAAAAACCTCTCTCCACCTCTCTCCACGTAACCGGTCCCTGGTGTCCAAAAGGTTGGGGGGCCTCTGCCCTACACAAGACAATTTCCTCAGAATAATCTTTTCGAGTCTGGCATCCCATGGAAGCTGAAAACCCATATCTCTGAGAAGCACCAAGTTGGGGAAAGCTACCTTAGATTTATTAAAAAGTTAGATACCCTTAAGCCAAGTTGGCCACACAGTGATTTCATAAGACAGTTCCATATTGTGAGTGGATTTTTCTCCTAACAATTTATAAGTGATTTTCCACTGTCTTATTCTGGGATGCTTTTATGACTTCCCAGGCTAACCTACAACTAGAGGTCATCTCGCTTAGCTTCTGAAGAAGATCCTGGATATTATTGAGCAAGGGAGGCATTTCTTACCTGCACATCTGCCCCATTCTGGACAGGTCCGTTCATCACGTCATCAATCTCGCGTCCTTCAGGAGGCACCCCGCCCCCCCGCGGCTCTTCGTACATGTTGCCGCCTGTAGGAAACATTCAGAGGAAACGAAAGTCCAACAAATCCGTGCACCCCGGTATCGGAACTGCTTTCTGCGTCCGACAGGGACGACAAGTCTTGCCCTCGGATCCCGAGAGCGCAGGGCTTCTTTCCACAAAGCCCGCTCTCTGCTTTGCTCTTTACTCCCAAACCTTCCGCTTTTCCACCGAACAGCGGGCAACAGGGAAGGAAAAGCGCCATTCAGATAAGGGCTAAAACGCGAGGTGTCTTCGGATCAAGTGGTTCTAAGGTGGAGGCACAGCAGGATCGCGCGTCTTATGTACTTTCTGTACTTTTAAAGAACAAAACCGGAGCCGAGGCAAGAGCAGAAGCCCCGAAAGAGACGCGATGATTGGGGAGATCCTGGAGTTGCCCTCAATCCTGTTCCATGCTCCCCAGCCCAGAAGGTGGGGTGGGGTGGGGTGGGGGACGTACCTTCCTCCATGGCCGCTCCCGCTTTGAGGCCAGCTGTCCTGCAAGCGCAACGCTCCTCGCAGAATGAAGCAAGACTAAAGTTGTTGGTTTTTTAACGCGACCCTCAGAAGCACGGAAGATTCACTTCGCTTTTCCGCCTCGGGTGGGCTGGGCTGGGCTGGGAGCTACGTGTATAGAAACGCTCTCTTAAAGGGATAGAGCAGCCTGGCGCTCAGGGGTGGCGCTCTCTTTCTCTCTGGGGTGCTGGAGGGAATCAGAGCGGCTGTGTTTGCTGATTTGACTACCGGTAGATCACAGGTGGTTGAACTGGCAGCACATGTGAAACTATAAATCATGATTTACAAACAGCAATAACTGGGCTGGTACAACAAGTGTAACCCAGACTAGTTTGGATTTAGCATTATGGTAATCCCAGCTGAAGTGTGTTTAAATTTGTGTCTTCAGGGCACTCTGGGCTCCTGATGCTGCCTGGAGTAATGTGTATAGTTTTCTTGGCAACGTTTTTTGTAAGTGGTTTGCTCTTTCCTCCTTCTAGGGGTGAGAGAAAGTGACTAGCCCAGGGTCACTCATCTTCCTTCTGGTTTAAGGCCACCCACAGTCTCTCCACTTCTAACAGTTTGATTTATTGGGTTTTTAGCTCAAGAAATTTCCCTTTGTAGCATGGCAGTCAGAAGGTGAGACAGATAGGAGGGCCACAAATGTAGTGCATAGCTCTGTAAGAGAATATTAATGTTGGGATTTCTGCAGAAACTGAAATGGAGTCCCATCGATCCATTGGGGGTCAGTACTTGTAACTGTTTGGAAATGTTCCTTCCATAAGATTAAAAAAAAGCATATCTATTGACCATTTCCTAATCTGAATCTGTTTGGTCTCAAATCACCTATTACTCTCTTTCTCTCCCCCTCTCTCTCTTTCCTCAAAGGTGGTTCAGCATCTTATAATAGATAACATTGAATAACAGAGTTGGAAGGGACCTTGGAGGTCTTCTAGTCCAATCCCCTGCTCCAGCAGAAGACTCTATACCATTTTGGACAAATAGTTGTCCAATCTCTTCTTGAAAACCTCCAATAATGGAGCACCTACAATGTTTGGAGGCAAACTGTTCCACTAATTAACTGTTCTGTCAGGAAATTTCTCCTTAGTTCTAGGTTGGAACTCTCTTTAATAATCTTATACCCCATTGCTTCTTGTTCTGTGCTCAGGTACTTTGGTCAATCCTCTCTTCTCTGTAACAGCCACTCAAATATTGGAATACTGCTATCATGTCACCCATAGTCCTTCTCTTAGTTCAGACATGTCAAACACAAGGCCCAGGGGCTGGATGCGGCCCGTGACGTGGTTTCATGTGGCCCGTGAAGCCATCCTGGAAACAGTGAGGGAACGGCCCCCACTGCCTTGGCCCTGGCCCAGGCCAGCCGGGAGCCAATGTACAATTTTGTGATGGCCATCTATGCTGAAACGCATTCAGTCTTAGCTCCACAAGGCCATCTGGAAACAGTGAGGAACCAGCCCCTGCCGCATCGGCCCCATCCCCTGGGTGCATGCTGGGGAGGTATCACCCTTTGTGAGGAATGAAGAAATGCACCATCGCCTGGAAGTGGCCAGCAAATGGCCCTCACCTACTTCACATATCCGGCTTGATGGGCTCCGGGGGAGGGTTTCAGCAGGCTCTTCCAGTGGACCATGCCTTGGCGCTTGCCCTGGTCCCACCCCCTTCTTCCAGAGACCCTCATATCTGTCCCACTCCTGCCCAGGCCCCCACAGGCACCCTTAACACGAACGATGTAGAGCTGGCCATGCCCACCCAATAGGCCGCATCCACTCCAGCCATGCCCACCCAGTAGGCCCCGCCCACTCTGGCCACACCTACCCGGCCACCCGAGGATAACCACAATGCTGATGCGGCCCTCAATGAAATTGAGTTTGACACCCCTGTCTTAGTTAGACTAGACATGCCTAATTCCTGCAACTGTTCATCATATGGTTTAGCTATATGATTTCCTTATACCTAGCTTTTCCTTTACCTAGTTTTTTTTATATGTTTATAATTGAGCCCCCAATCCAGTGGTGGGATTCAGCCGGTTCGCACCACTTTGGCAGAATCGGTAGCTAATTTTTTGTTGCCCAGGGCCAGAATGGACTTCTGGAAGCAGCATCCACACAGAGAACCGGTTATTCACATATTTGAATCCCTCCACTGCCCCAACCCATTCATTGTAGCAATTTGCAATTGAAGTCATAGTTATTATGAAAAATATCGATGGTATATTCCTGGTTTCATGTAATTGGTTGCATCTTCTTACTGATGCAGCTGGACAGGAAAAAAAAATACAAGTATTGATGGGTTCTTGATGATCTCTACATGTTCTGTGTGTTTTAGGGTCAGCAGAAATAAAGATGCCAGGTCAAGTATTAAAGTTTTCTGTGAGGAATGAGGTGCATGTCTCTTGGAGATGCTGGTAGGGTGACTACCAAAGACTAATCTCTATGATATAGAGCTTGTACCAATGATTCTTAAATGGAAACAGTTCATCTGTGATTCCCAATTATTATATATTTCCAAGATAAAAATATTTTTTTTCTCCTGTAAAAGATTTGACATAATAAAACCTTTACATTCCCATGGGCATCCCACAGATATTTGAAGAAACTTGGCCTGCGAGGAGTGAACAATGACACCTCAGTATTTTTGGAATTTAGCATGTTGTAGCCTCAAGGCCACCTGAATGAGTGATTAAGTAAATACAGATGGATAGTATTCATTTCATAGTTTCTAAGTTTCATTTCTGCAGCTTGACATCCATACTAACTTCTGCTTTTAAATACAGTGATCTTGAAACTTTCATTTTCAGTTCCATATACTTCACAGAAATGTAGAAAATGTGTGCCAAATAGAACAATTAAAAGAGAGGTAGAAATGGTAACAAGGAAAGGAAACAAAACTTGTAATTCTCTCTAGTTTGGATGCCAGATGTGACAGTGTATTGTGAATAGAGTTTGCAATCTGTAAAAATATTTTTTATCGTTAAAGTCAATCAGATCAGTTTGGATTCAGTGTTGGGACAGTTTTCCCTTCAGATGCTTATTTTAGATGTTTTTCAGATTGTATTTTTTGAGGCTATGGATGAATTTTCTGGAGAGGTGAAAGCACCGCATGGTGAATTCCATTCCTTGATATAGGTTCAACCAGTTGCTTAGCAACTATTCGAAGTTTCAAAGGACCCAAAACAGAGGTACAGTACTTACTGCCTGGATTCAAAATTCCAGAGACTGGGTTTACCCTGCAGTCGCGTGATTGCCTTTGAAATGCTCATCAACTGGCCCACATTTACAGCCATTTGCAGCATCCTGCAGTCTTGTGGACATGATTTACGACCTTTTTTGCCAGAAACTGGCATTTACTTCAGATTTCTGACAAAAAAACTGCCCATTGTGGACAATGGGTTTGCTGAACAACAAACAACCATTCCTCCTCTTGAATTTTTTGCAGCTGTTAACATTAACTATAGCCTGGGTTATGTTAGAGATGCTATTTTGAATCACTTCTGGTCTATCCTTTCAAATCATGTCCAGAAGCTGATTTTGGGGGGGGGGGGAGACTAATATTTAATGCTTGCTGGCTTATAGTAACCATCGCATTCTGTTGCCTACCCTGTTTAATATTTACATCTGGGAGACATTGTCTAGCACTTTGGAATGGAATACCAAAAACATATCAGCTATTGCTCTTTGTAACCCAATTCCCAAGAAAATGAAAACCATCCTTTTGACCATTTCTAATGTTCAGTAATGGGCTGGATGAGAATGAACAAGTTGAACTTAAATCAAGACAAAACAGAGGTGTTATTGGTTATTAGGAAAACAGACTTAGCAGCTTAGTTTTTCCTATATGGAGTTCATCCTTTTTGGAAGAGAGATTAACAGTTTGGAACTAATTTGTCCCTGGGTTTCTTGGTAATACTAGTGGCAAATAATATTAATCTATTGCATCAGTTAAGAATCTTCCTGAGCCAGTCAGAAGTTACCCACATCCTGGTTGTGCTTTGAATGACTATCCATTATACCAGAAGCAGGGGCTCAAACTGAAGCAATAGCGGCAGCAACAACAAGAGATCTGGAGGTCACAAGGTGAAGAAATCAGCAATGTGGCAATAATTATCATTAGCCCCGTAGGCTACTTTAGCAAATTTCACCATTATAATATTAAACCCTGATCCTTCTGGGATCTTGCATTTCAGCTAGTATATTATAAGTATGTAATAGATGCTGGACAGATGCAAAGCTGGTGCTCCTACCTATGTCCCCTTTATTTCTTATATTTTAATATATCCAGTAAGAGAGTTGTTCATGGTGATTTCAGATTACTATTTCAAACCAGCCTAAATTATCAGGGTAGAATTTCCAAGAAAAGTTTGATTGGTGATATCCCAAAAAGGAAGTTTTCCCATTAACCATTCCTTCCTTTATTGGTAATACATTATGATTGGAAGCAGTGTCCAGCAGTAAAACAGCTCAAAAGTACAAACTAGCATAAGCAGGTATGGCAGTACTACTCCCACAGAAATATAAGGATTATTCATTTTCTGCTTTATTTTTTTTTAAGAAAGGGAAGGGGATGGTTATTTTGGTATGAAATAAAGGTTTGTGGGATGAGGCACTTGTTCCTGGTTCAGAAACTGAACACCAACTGGCTAATGACTTGATATAATTAATTATTAGGGAGAAAGAATAAGTGGTGATTGGCTGCTGAGTCTCTGTAAATTTTGTAGACTCACGAAGATAAAAATCCACCTGTTCTGATAGTATTGTGGTAACTAAGTCAATATGCAAACAGCCCAGTCAATCTCAGCTTGTATTTTGATGTGGAATCCAAAGGGCTGGCTGACTAAAGGCCGTCTGACAGGAAGTCCTCACAGATTACACAATTCAATTGAACATCAGGAAGAGTCTGGTAGAACCTCTTCTGACAAACACATGTTACTAAAAGGTATGAGTATTCATGAGCTGCAACATCACTTCACTGAGGTATGATTTCATTTGGGATGTGGGAGGGAGACAGATTGGTTATGCAGATGCAGGTTACATGTCAATACCTTATCAATTAACAATGGTAGTGTGTTAAAATCCATTGTGGTTGTGAGCTAATCTG